CCAAAACACTGAGGAGCTCTCTTGGCCTCTGGCAGGACTGGGGCTGTGCAACCCTGTACTGAGTGGGAGGGTCAGCCAGGGGGTCACCATGCCTTGGGAGGTCAGGGGACAGAATGGGGAATGAGGTGCAAGGGGCATTCCAACTCATACCTTGCAGAGGAAATACCATATCATAAAAGTGGTTTTGCCAGGGGGAGGCTCATCCATTGCACTTTGGGTGTGTTGCTGATCCCTGTGATTTCCCCAAATGTGGGGAACTCAACTGCATAATTTGTGGTAATGGGGGATTACATTTGTGATTTCCCTGGTTTTTTTACAATCTCTTTACCCTGGCTCCTGATTGTTTTCACCATTCTCTACCATGTAACTTTGCAGCCATAACCCCATTGGCAATGCTTTGCAAGATGGTTTTTTCCCCCTATTCAAATATATTAATTACATAAGGCGTACTTTTTTATCCCCAAAAAGTGGGGGAGAAAGTGTATGCTGCTATTTTTCCAAGAAGCAGACCTTGGAAAGCCAGCAGCATACACTTTCTCCCCCACTTTTTTGGGATAAAAAAGTAGGTCTTATGTAATTAATGTGTTTCAATTGGGGGGGGGACTGTCTTGCGAAACAGGGTTTAAAAAAAAACCATCTTGCGAGGCAAGGACCCAAACATCGTCCAGCAAAAATTGCCCATAGGAACAATCGTTTTGCGAAGTGCAACATTGCTCAAAAAAGTCATCATCTAGCGAATTCCTCATTTTGTGAGGCAATCGTCTAGTGAGGCACCACTGTATACAGATAGTGTTTTGTATGTAATACAGTATTTAGCATGAGCTCTTAGGCATACACAAGCTAATTACATTTCCCCCCAGTTTTTGAGCAATCCCCATGACCTAAATAGGAAGTATAAAAATCAGTTTTCCAACAGGACTGTTCAAGTAAAACAAATGTATATAGCTGCATGAGGCCTTGAGAATATGAACACTACTCCTCTTGCAGTTCTTATATCTAAACTTGGTGGAAATTGGAATGAACAAAGTTGGCATTCCAAATGTATGCAAACATCTGAAAAAGAATTATACTGCAAGAAAACAAAATATTATAGTTAAAGAAGTAGAGATGTTGATGGGTTACCACAACCTGATGGGTTGGGATAACAAAGGACATGAAACATAAATGCATGATACTTGGTATATAAATACAGTAAAATAAATAGTAGTGCTATAGCTGTGACAACCTCGGATCCCATCTTCATATAGGACTATTCCCATGTGTACCTCTGAGACCATCTCATATTCTCCATTTGCCAAATGAGACCTGTGAGCTGTTAGGCTGTAGCCTTCTTTGTGATATCATCATACTTGGAAAACAAACTTCCCAGGGAGATTTGTAGCACCCTCCTTGAATTTTTCTGGTCCAGACACCTGCAGGGTAGCAGACATACTGGGTTCTTCAGACATGATATGCCTTGCTTAGCTGTTTCGGTACTTGTCATGTAATATTTCTATGTCTTGTTGTACTTTTTATGGTTTAATTATAGTTCAGATCAAAGTTCTGGTCCTAAATTATTTATAATTTAATATATTTTAAAATATTTTTACAGTCAAATACAGGATACTTTTCCAAGCACAAATCCCTGCATATTCAATCTTGCAAGCTGTGTTTTTGGAGCAGAAATCACTGGACTAATTCTTGTAGCTCAAAGAAAATAGAAGGAAGGATCTAGTTGACAAAAAAAGATGAATAGCACAGTCCTACACACGTTTCTTCATGTCCTTTTCTGCTGTATGGTGCTGAATCCCACTAAGTTTTTGTGGGCCTTTAAGACGATATCAGGATCAAAGCAGATAACATGCTTAACACGTTCTTAGAAGCAACACTCCCTCAAGCGGTGGAAGATGTTTAACTGATATGGCACTTGATTTTCCTGAATCAAACATTTCATTTAACATGTTTTGCGATTGATAATTGGAAGATAAACAGGAGTCTAATCTGAAAGTCTTTTAGCTCAAGTATGCATCCGTGGGGAGATCTTATTATGGGAGGGAAAAATGGGTTAGTTGGGGGAAACATGTATTCAACTTCATGCTTTATTTGATTGTCGGTGGCCCTTCTTTGTCACTGCTCTTTAACTTCACCCTCCATTTTCTGTGATCCCTGTATTTTTTCCCTGTAACTATATGTCTTTCTTCCTTGGCCTCTCCTCCTAGACTTTACCTTGTTTATGCTAAATCAACCCCTGAACATATAATCTAGCAATCCACTATTTTATACCTGGATCTATGGTATTGTACACCAGAACAAATCAACATTGTGCATGGCAATTCTAAAAAATGTGGGCACTCCAAACAAAAAATTATAACTTTGAAACTGGACTACAGATTAACACCACATTTGGCACAGTTGTAGCAGGCAGTCCACTTTTGCTCTGTGCCAAATTTGGATGTTCTTACTTTAGCAGAGCCTAGTTGCCTGTATATTGTCATAGTCTCAACCATTGCACCCACATTGTCACTTTACAATTGTTTGGTAATGTCATGACCGAAAATGTTATGTCCCATCAAGTCACTTCTCATGTATAGTTACTATTTCAGTTAATTAATGACTTCTCAAATGTCCTATCATTAACATCTCTGCACAGTTCTTGCAGATCAAAAGCATCTCATGTTAGGTTCATCTCTCTTCCTGCTGCTCCCCCCTTTTCTCAGCAATACTGTATTGTCTTTTCCAGCAAGTTTTGCTTAGGTCTTGCAAACTAACAGTTGTGACTTCCTTTACTGAGACAATCTATCTCGTGTTAGGTTTTCCTACTGCTGTCCCCTACTTTTCCCAGCAATATTGTTTTTTTCTAGTCAGTTTTTCTGCCCTGACAGTTGTGTTTGGGTGAGAAGTGGTTAACTCATGAAAAAAGGAGTCAGCTTCAGGTGGTTAACTCATGAAAAAAGGAGTCAGCTTTAGGGGTTTTCCTTTGCTTGGTGTCGCTTTGTGAATGGTAATGAGCAGAAGAGGTTAACCTGTAGACTATCTTGAGTGGTGCCATTGGAGTTGTCAACATTCAGCCTACCCTTTGCTATGTAAAGCTTGGCATCCTTTTTCCTTCTGGCTGCATGGGCACAATATTGTGCAGCAATATTGGGCCATTTCCTGTAATTTTGAATCACAATACAATGGTGCCTCACTTTACGATTGCCCCGCATTACGATGAAACCGCTTAACGATCACAATTGCAATCGCAAAACAATGGTCTGAATGGGGAAATTTCGCTTTGCGTTGATCGGTTCCCTGTTTCAGGAACCGATTCTTCGTAAAATGACGTTTTTTGAACAGCTGATTGGCGGTTTCAAAATGGCCACCAGGTGATTAAAATAGCTCCCCGCTGTGTTTAGGGACGGATTCCTCACTATACAGGCAGCGAAAATGGCCACCGTATGGAGGATCTTCGCTGGACTGTGAGTTTTTACCCCATTGGGTAGCATTGAACGGGTTCCACTGCGTTCCAATGGGGTTTTTATTTTCGCTTTACGATGTTTTCGCTTAACGGCAATTTTCCTGGAATGGATTATCGTCGTTAAGCGAGGCACCACTGTATCTCACTGGAGGCTTTGTGAAGAATTGAATGTACTGTAGAGTCAATTGACTGAAGTTGTTCTGGTACAGATCTTGAAACACACTATAAATTTGTAGTGTAGGGTTGATTAAGTTATCCCAGAGTCACAGTGCAGTCTAGACATGTCTATTTAGAACATAATCCCACTGAGTGAAATGGAACAACTTACAGGTAAATGAATATAGTATCAATGCTCAGCATTTGCACAAAACTGAATAGATCAAGAGGTTTCTCTGAACTGCTAACATTGTGCTATAATGAGGTGTGTTGGGAACAATTTAAGCAGTTGGACCTTTGTTTGACACCCTTCTGTCTTCCTCATTTTCCCTGATCCTCTTTCAGCTGGCCATTTTTAACAGCTCATCTGTGGAATGTTGAAACCCCCATTCCCAGAGACCTTTGCTCACATTCAGCATCCATAGAAGATGGACAAAGGAGGCAGACTCCCCCCCCCACGTCAGAGCACCTGGTCCTCACAGGTGATCTGTTGGATGCCTACAGGCTGCAGTGAGATCAGGAAGCTGTTGTTGTCATCATTGCCATCTTAAAATTGCAGAGCTGAAAGGGACTCAAACTCCCAACCTCTGGTTCCAGCAGCCAGAAGCCAGATACCTAAACCACTGAGCTATCCAGCAGTCAGGTTCTTTTGAGGTCGTATGTGTCATCTGGGAAACAGCGTTGAATCTTTATGTTAGCTGTGTTCGTTACATAGAGATGAGCATGAATTGTGCTTTGGTGGTTTTGCCTGGGATGTTCTGTGGGCACCGCACACTTCCCTCCCCTGCCTCCATGGTTGGTCGCCCAGTCGCGAGCAGCAGCACAGGCTTCCCTGCCCTGCCTCCTTATCTGGGTGCAGCGTCTCCTTTATTCTCTGGTAACGCAATTAGAAATCCAGAATGTTGATGCAGTACCAGCACATTGTGAGTTCTCCATTCTGTCAAGTAGCAGACATTGCTACGGAGCAGCAAACTTGCAGTTAGATGGCATTAAGGCCAATATTTTGAAAGGCATCACCTTCTCAGTGTCACAGAGGAGGAGATGACAAAGCCACAGCTTTTGCTGATAGGCCCCTTTAACGGATTGTTCTGGCCTAACTCTAAGATGGAGAGTGGGACATTGCAAAAGCCCAGCAAAGGAAAATCAAAGGGGGATTCTCAGTAAGGATCCAAAACAATGTAGGTCCACCTAATTGCAAGTGTAGGAGCCCTGCTTATGCTTCGTCCAGGTTGCTGTACATTCACAGTGTATGTCTATCATTGTTTGCATGGGAGAATGTAAGTAGAGCACTTGATCAACATGTTTTCTCTTTGATTGGTAAAAAAAAATAATGAATTGTCACTGTTTTAGGAAACATTAACGCAGGAAGGCAAGAGATGCAAAACAGACGTGGAAGACATTTCTTTGGCAGTAGATAAAGATTCAAGGAATGAAAACAGCAGCACTGAAGAGGAAAAAGAAAAGACGAAATTACTGCTGGAACGGCTGAAGGCTCTGGAGGTAAGATAAAAAGAACCTTCTTGCATAGGAGGTCTCTAGCTTTTATTGGTACTGAATGCTGCTGCACTATAAATCTTTCTCAGCTCACCTAGGCTCATGTTACAATGTATTTTTTTTATCATGATTCATTAAACCAGGAGGAGTGCAATGCTCCATCTTGGAACCACTGAAATGATCTTTCTCTAATGTCAAGGATCATATATTCTTAAAAAGAAACTTCATAAATAAATGTAACTTCTTTCAAGCTTGAGGCTTGCTGAAACCCGCAGAGATTTTAATACAGAAGATGTAGTCTTTTATGATACAGCTTCAGGTGTACATGTAGGGCACAAACCACGAAAGGGCTCCATTGTATTGCTTCTATGTTCTCTTCTTCCACGATAAGGAAGAGACGAAAACTAGAGATAGGTCCAATCTGAATACCGCATGGCCTAATTGACATGTATCAAATTACCAGCGTAGCTGGCAGCTGACTGCAGCAGTAACAAGCTTCAAACTAGTTCATGATTTGCTCTTAAGAGTTATTGCCACTTCTCTCACTAGTCATATAAATGCTGTTGGTTCTTGTACAACAGTATCCTTAGACTTTAAAGGATGGCAGGGCACAGGTGATTTTAGGGCAGTGGTCCCCAAGGTTAATCTGTGGACTGATTGATATAGCTGATTTCTTGACTGGGCTCCTAGAGGTGATATTTGAAAAGCTATGATTAATTTGTTGATAATACCTGGCATGGTGTAGTGGATCAAGTGATGGAATAGGATTTAGGAGGCCTGGGTTCAAATCCCCACTAAGCTATGGAAACTCAGTGGGGGTATAAAACTTGTGAAACTAGTCCTTAATATCTCATTTACCTCGAAAGCCATATTAGGGTTGCTATAAGTTGTTCTGATTTGACAGCACATAGCAACAACTGTCCATCCATCCATCCATCCATCCAGCCATCCATCCATCCATCCATCCATCCATCCATCCCTTGAAATTTAGTATTGAACAATGAGAGAGCAACGTTTGCTAATTATTCAAAAATGTTTAGGTTTTCATTGTTTCCTGGGAAAATTGCCCTTGTCTTGCAACTTTAAAGACAAATTGTGTTTGGTGTAGCTTTTTCTTCACCGGAATTCAGTTTAACAGATGCAATAGGTCAGCTTCATCCCATTGAGGCTCACTCGCATTAGAACAAGCTAGTCTTTAAGGTGTCCCAAGAATTTATTCTTTTTCTGTGAGGAACTGTCTGTTTTGATTGGTAAGTTGTTTTTTTTTACGACTGTGTACAGTTCCATCCAGCCATCCATCTACCTGGTGGCGCTGCGGGTTAAACCGCAGAAGCTTCTGTGGTGCAAGGTCAGAAGACCAGCAGTCGTAAGATTGAATCCACGCGACAGAGTGAGCTCCCATCGCTTGTCCCAACTCCTGCCAACCTAGCAGTTCGAAAGCATGTAAATGCAAGTAGATAAATAGGTACCACCACAGTGGGAAAGTCACAGTATTCCGTGTCTAGTTGCGCTGGCCACGTGGCCACGGAAACTGTCTATGGACAAATGCTGGCTCTATGGCTAGGACACGGGGGTGAGCACCGCCCCCTAGAGTTGGACACAACTGGACTAAATGTCAAGGGGAACCTTTACCTTTACCTTACAGTTCTTAGTAAATATTCATTTTTTAAAATAAATCATAATCAAAATGATTCAGTGCTGCAGCAGATTTCTTGAGCTAGTTGAGATAATTACAAAGTACAGCTTATTTGGCTAGAGAATGGGAAGCAGAGCTTCAAAGGTGATAGCTGTTTTCCTGCGTCCAAGACTAGCTTCAGACACAAAGTATTGAATGGACATCCATAAGAGTGTTTGAATGGACATGCATAAGAGTGTTTGACAACCACCGCCAGTTTTTATATTTCAATGTATAATTTTATATATAACAAAATTAAAAACTCCATTTTAAATGGTTCAAGTTAAAAGGTTTTAAACATTTGTATTCCTTGTATCATGCCTTATTGCACTGTATTATGTATGTATCTTCATACTTGTGAATACATCATTTCATCAGTGCTTAAACCAACGTTCGCAAAAGATAGGTATGTTATGGCGTTTGCTTCTGCAACATCCACGCTCACTTCCCCTTGAAGCAGGTGAATTCTGCATGCGATCTTTCTAATCTATTTTCCAGGTATTTATATTAAACTGTGGCAACGTTAGTCTGTGTAACCATTTGCATTTTGATCATTTCATTTTCTGACAGCAGATAGTTATTTAATGAAGTCATAGCTTTTTATCAATTCTTGTCAATTGCCTTGAGGAAGGGAGGGAGGGAAGAAATGCTATGGCAGGTGAACCTGGCTGTGGAAGGTCAGCAAATAGGATTTCGTCATTGATTCCAGCTTTGTATTTCAGCTTGTTTTTGTTTTTTTAAAGAACAACAACTGAGTGTGCCAATACTTCCAGAATTAATCTACACAAGCAGTCTAAAGAGTAATCCATGAAGAAAAATGAACTACAGGGCAGCATTAATAGTACCCCAAGATAATTAAAATAAAGTGTTGCTAATTGTATGTTGGTTTAATGTTATATATCCTTACCCTTGTGTATTTGTGCTTTGGAGATATAATTTTTTATGTCAGATGCTGGAAGCTCTGAGGGTTATTAATCAAGAGACATGCATTTTATTAGTAGTGCAATTAGTGGGGCTTAATCCTTTGGTTTTTAGAGAGCAATTTATCTCTCTATTTCATTAGTGGAGTTGGAAAAAAAAACCAAAGTAAAAATAGTCATCCCTCCGTTCCTCTGACATGGGTGTCGGGCTTGTTTTCAGGAGGTTTGCAGGCACAAAGTATTTGGCTCATCCAACTATGTAAGACGGTACAAACTGTCCATTAACTATCCATATCTGAGCCTTTCTGCATACTGTTGCTACGTTTCATAAAGCCATTTCTGTCTTATGTCCGCCCTATAAATTAATGGCTTCGCAAATGTCCTGTTGTTAACAGCTCTGATCAAGTCTTACAAACCCAAAAGCTGTAGTTTCATTATTGAGTTAATCCATCTCAGGTTAGATTTCCTCCCCCACCCACCCGACCTCCTTTTGTTTTTCCTAGTATTATTGCCTTTTCTAGTGAGTCTTGTCCTCTCACAATATGCCCAAATGTGTTAGCCTCAGTTTAGCTATTATAGCTTCTAGTGAGAAAGAAATAGCATCAGTAGGCTTTTAGGATATATACAACAAACAAAACACAAACAAAAATAAATGGCCACTAGTTCACTTCCAGAATAAAAAATAAAAAAGAGGCTATTTTAAGAGCCAGAGCAATTGAATTGCCACTCCTGAAACCTTCCAGGAGCATCTCCTCCAGTTGCTGGCGCTGTGTGTCTGTCTTTTAGTCTGTGTACAGTGGTGCCCCGCATAGCAACAATAATCCGTGCAGCAAAAATTGTCACTATACGGATTAGTCGCTATGCGAAAAAGAAAGCCCACTACCTGGAGGTGGTGGAAGTTGAACCTGGGATCTCCTTCATGCAAAGCATGGGCTCCGTCACTGAGTGAAACCTACACAGGTTGCTATGATTGGGGTGTATCTGCCTATCTGTATGTAACGCTTCTCCCAGAGAAAGGATACTTTGGAACATCTCTATGTTTAGGAAGCTGTAGTGAAAACACTACAGCCTCTAAGTAAGACAAATGTCCTGGTTTACTCTGATGGCTATATTAATTTCCCAGCATCATGACGTTCTATTATGTATGTTTAATGTACGAACTTCAGCACAGAGGGTCAAGAACAGTGCTCTTACGTAGCCATTGCTGTCAGCATTACAGTACTTCTGAAATACAAGTCCTGCTGGCTATAGCAGGGAATGACATGCATGACTTTGGACTATACTTTTCGGAATTTCCTCAACTACAGCACACCCTGGCAGCTGCAGTCCCACAAAACAACTCTTTCAAGATGTGCAGCTCCAACCTATATAACCTTATCTAGGAAGCTGCCTTCTAACAATATGGGATATACAGTCACCTAGCTCAGTATAATTGACATTGAGAGTGGCTGATGGATCAAGGAATACCTCATACTCAGATTTTGGGTAAGAACACCCTCCGCTCTAGTAACGAGAGACTTTAGATGACACCGACTACTTGCAGCTGACCACAGTTATAGGCAAGATTATTTTCTAGCCTGCCCCCCTCCAAAAAAAGCCAGGTTTTGAACATGGGATATTCTGTGTACAAGGCATAGATACTTAACATGAGTTGTGGACATCATATATAATGCTGTTTCATGGGAGAGTGCTCAAATGAGCACTCAAACAAACTACTGATACAATTTTCAAAGAAAGAATTTTTGAGCATTTGAAAAGATGGCTGTTTCCCCCTTCAGATTCCTTTGTTCATGCCGCATAGATAAAAGTAAAAATATTTTTAAGTTCAGTTGCTCATTTGCCCTTAGCAATTTTGTCAGTTCTCTTATTCTTTATCTTTCTCTACCAATTCTTTTTCTAATTTTGTTCATGATAAATGTTGTACATTTGCAATCAAAGGAAACAGATTCTAATTAACAGTTCATAGCTATACGCGTACGTATGTGCCCTCAGTAGCTGAAATTCTTGTTGCACTGTAATTATTTGGATAGTGCAAGTCCCTTGTGCCATGAACATGCAATGCTTAGGAAATCCCATTTGGCAATGGCACTATTGTACTGCAGATAAGGTCATACGTCTGTAGTCCTTGTATGGTCTAAAGCAGTGGTCCCCAACCTTGGGCCTCCAGATGTTCTTGGACTACAACTGCTAGAAACCTTCAGCACCACCTCTGCTGGCCAGGATTTCTGGGAGTTGGTCCAAGAACATCTGGAGGCCCAAGGTTGGGGGCCAGTGCTCTAAAGTCCTTTCCTCTCTCCTCTCTCCCCAACAGAACACACCGGCAATACCCCTTATGGCCTGTGGATGCTTTCCGCTTCCCCTGGTCCCCCCACCCCACATACACGCTTGGCCAGACTTCCTCATGCTTTATC